CAGGGGGGGGGGGGGGAGAGAAAGTGCTCAAAAAATATCTCATACTTTACATTCAGCCTTTGCAAAGCAGTTTTGCACAGAGATGTAGAATTAAAACACATGAGGAAGTCATTATGGCACAATTACACAAAGGAAAATCTTAAAGATAGGCTGTCACCATGGAAATAGCTCAACAACAGGACATATACAAAAAGATTTATACAGCAAGCTGATATCCATCTAGAATCTTGTTGGCTGATACTTGGATAACATTATTTCTGTTCAATGTTGAGCTCCTGTGTGCATTACAATGCCTAGGAGAATTCTCATTTTTAGTCAAAATCAATCTCTCATTCCTCTTTGGGCCATTAAAGCACTCAAATGGCATGCTAAAGGTTCTATCAGCCCCATTAAACAAAAAGACCACCCTCGCCTGGTGGTCCAAGATGATACATATTTTCCAGTTTGATCATTTGCAGAGATGGATTACAAATCCTCCAATGACTTTACATATGACACAATTCAGATAACATGGGAAATGCACTTATTAAACAATATTCAAACCGGGCTTTCCTTGTAAATCTGAGTCATAGCATGAGGTAGACGCATGCATTTGAAACTAAGGAGCCAGCGGGATTTTTTTTTTTAGCGTTACCAACTAGTGAAAACCTCAAAAGTTAGGTGACAGCTGTCATTTTTAAAGAGCATTGACTACCTGGGATTTGACCAGCCCTGTTACATCTATCTGGGCTGGACAAATCCCAGGAGCTGGGTAGCCAATGCTCTTTAAAAAGTACAGCTGGCTCCTAAAAAATAAATCCTGCTGGCTCCTGGATTGGACTGGCTCCTGAATTCCATATTGATATGTCAACCTCTGATGCATACATACAAATGCGCTATTTAAAGTGACACTAAACTCAGCAGTTGAATCTTAATACATCCATGTACCCCATTAACAAAAATGAATCTTATTTGTGTATCGCTTGACTGTAGATCATCTCTGATATCATACTGACACTGTCCTTCCTTCTGGAGGGTGGCTACTTTTGTTCCCCATGGTCCTGGTGTGTGTTGTAAAGTAGCCACCGCTCCAAGTTCACTCCTGTGATGGACTACAATCTCAATACAAATGAGTAAACTAAACATGAGATTGTAGTCCCATCACGGGAGTGAGCTTCGAGCGGTGTCTACTTTACAACACACACAGGGGAACACAAGTATCCACCCTCCAGAAGGAAGAGCCGTGTCAGCACCAATTCAGAGATGATTTCAGATCTACAGCAGTGTGATTAAAGTGGACCTTTACCCCCTTTCACTAAAAACCACATCACCATGCAGCTGCGCATGCTGATTAGAAAACACCTTACATTCAATTGTTAAACAATTTTATTTTACGATTTTTTTTTCTACCTCCTGGTACACTTGGGCACAAAAGATGTAATTGTGCCCAAGTACTGCATCCTGGGAAGGTTACATCAGCAGAGCATTGCTGAAAAATCTCATCTGTAATCTCACGAGATCTTAGAGAAAGGCATTCTCCTCCCCTGAGATGATGTGCATGGTCACATGTCCTAGTCACATTAAAGGGAGATTGATTCACTTGACCTTAGTAAAAATAGCCACTGTGGGAAGAATAGGGAGGAAAAGAGAAATAAAGGTATGCAAAGACTACAAAGCTGGAAGTTATCTGCAAGTATGTGTTTTGTAGGTTGTCATCACTAGACCTTTCTAAAAGGTGCCTTTGTTATTTTGAAGATATGGGTAGAGTTCCTTAATAAAAGTATCTGAACAAAGATGAGATATTTTTGTTAATAGTTAAAGTACTTGAATGCATTTGTAAGGTTTCATTCCTCAGTTTAGTGTCACTTTAAAGGAAACACAAAATCAGATGCCCCTACTCCTGACACACACAACAGCAAACCAATTTTTACGCAGTTGATGCGCACACACAAATGGCTTCTGGTTCACGCCTATGGCTCACTTACACATACAGAAGGAAAAAGTTATATACTCAAACCAACAAATGACATGTTAATATTTCCTTTCCCGCCAGCACTAGATAATACAGGTGGAACCCTGTGGTTTGCTACATCTTCTCTCTGCAAGCTTCTATAAATGAACCTGGATAGCGCCCAGAGCACGCTAGGCAAAGACCAAGTCACCTCAAACTATGTGCCGTGCCAAAACTAAAAGCCGACATTACACGTTATTTAAAACAAACACTGTATGGCAGGCCAAGAAACACACAAGCCGTCCCCTGAAATAACACCGAGCTCCTTCTCCTGTTACAGCTGACATTCTCAGTGCCGGGGGTACTTATCAAAACTACCCAACTGCATTTAGAAATTGTGGCCAAGCATTAAAAAACAAACGTAGCATGCACTAAAGTCATTTATTACATACATAGAAAAACATGAAACAGCTTGATGTAGACACGACAGACACCACTAAGTGTCTCATACCAAGTCAGTCCCACTTCCCCCAAAATGTTTTAAAAAATAGACTTCGGGGGCAAAAAAGCTGTACTTTGTAATTGCAGAGGGGTTTGACGCTGAGTATTACAGCTTTGGTCTGGTCTCCTATGCATTATCTGAGCATAACCTTATCACATGATGGGAGGCGCGGCCACACAAAGCTCCCATTTTTATAAATTCTTGCACATGGGTTTGATTACTGGAGCTCTGGTTACTGCTGCTTTCCTGACATTACCAAGCAGTGATGTCATATTACCTTCTTTTTTTTTTAAACACAGTACTTAGTGCAGCAATCTGCTACGTATAAAATGAGACATTCGCATGACCCACACGACAGCATATTAAAACATTAAAGCCATTCTTCCAGGAAGAGGAAATGCATACTGTGTGCAATCGTTCAATTATCTTTGACCACCATTCACATCTGTGCTCTTAAAGTACCTGTTAACACATCTAAAGTGCGTTGGAGGTTTCTGTACTATTACCTTCAATGGTACAGTTCCCTTTGGCGTATTTAAATATAATGCATTTCAAAATATTCTGTTTGCTGCAAGTGTGTTCCACAACAAAACCACACAGCAGCGTATGAAAAGATGCACCGACACATACAAAAGGCATGCGTTTTTAAAGGCCATCTCTAGGGGGAACAAAATCCTACCCTTGCAGTGAGGTTACAAACACACCGCAAAGGATAACTGCTTGTTTAGGGGTATTGTGGGGACTTTCTTTACCTGACCCACACAACTAGAGACTCCAAGACAGGCACTCGCAGCCTCTTCCCCCTATGTTCCAGCAGTCGGATGTCTGCTGATGGTATCTCTAATGCATATATGCCCATAGACCCACATTGTACATGAGGACACCAAGAGACCATCCACAAACTGGAGCAAAGGGGAGAACGCAGACTGCCGCGGGGAGAACGCAGACTGCCGCGGGGAGAACGCAGACTGCCGCGGGGAGAACGCAGACTGCCGCGGGGAGAACGCAGACTGCCGAGGGGAGAGGGGATCAGGTAAGAGTCCTTTACCCCAGGCATAAGGACTTGTTCACATATATCTCCCTAAAGGTGGCCCTACACCTTACAATTATCGTACGATTTCTTTCATTGGACCGTCATCCGTGTTCCGCTTGAATACCTCATCATGCACAGACCAATGTGGATTTAGATTATCATTCGTTATGAACGCTAACTGACCGAATTTCGTTGAACAACAGAATGGATCTCGTTCATTTTTAGAACATTTAATCACAAGGTGTATGGTGTGAACCAGCCCTAAACGAGCATTTGAAACTTGCCGGGCGGAGATGTCCCTAAAAATTGGCATCAGGTTGATTTTTTCTTGCAATGTTGATCTATTGTAAGGTTTGCACATCATTTTTTTTATAGACAATTTGAAATGGCAAGTTTCTTTATACTCCTACTTTATGAGCAGCCTAGGGCTACATTCGCACGAGCCTCCTACACTTAGGTTAAACACGGGTAATTATCTGGAATGTAGAAACAAATGTTACTTTTCCCAGATCAAGTTCGCCTGCATTTAATGCACTTGCCTTTAAGTGTGTTTAGACACATTCGGAGTATCTAATCGTGTAATAGTCTCTAACATTAGTGGTCACTGTTGCAGAAACCCTTTACATTGGTGGTCGGTGGAAAAAAAGACCCCTTAAATTGGTGGTCAGAGTAGGTGGGAGATCAATCAAATGGCACCCCCCACCCATTGGTGGCCCATGGAAAATCGCCCCACTCCCATTGGTTGGAGATCAATTCACCATTGCTCAAGGAACTCCTAGGAACCTCAGGAGGAACCCTGGTTGAGCCATGCTGTCCTAGACTAAATGGCTGTTATGTGTCACCTCCGATCTGATGGTAAAAGCAGCCCGGAGTCTATGGCAAGCATTGTGATCAGTGACAGAGTACAGATCCCTTACAATGCTAATCCCCCCAAATCACTGCCAGCCTACAGGCTGATTATCATTCTCGCAGTGTTGTCACCCCCAGCAGAGGCGAGCATGCTGCAATCAGCGTCACAACATGTGCCTCCATGTGATAAGAATGCCACTTGTAAGATTGTCCCAGGCTCCGACCACTAGTCTCCAGCACTGTTACCATACAGCTCACATTGTGCCGTTCAAGACCAGCACAAACGGAGGCAGGGACCACAACTTGTAGGGAGCCATTACTAAGAAGCAGCCAGCCGTGAGCCCCTCCTGCTCTGCTCCTCACTCACCCAGGTCGTCCATGATGCCGCTCAGCCGGAGCGCTCTCCGGGAGTCGGATACAACTTTCACACTTCAAGGCACGAACGCGCCTCCGCCTCCTGCGTGCGCGCGCACGAGCTGCACTCCAGCCACACCCCACCAGCTTGTGCGTAGCCCCGGCGTCACGCGCGGCCAGTACCCCCTCCGCCTGCGTTGGGAGGCTCTCCGCCGGGGGGGGGAGCGCGCATACTTGGCTGCGCGTTCCGGGTGCCCTGGGGTGGGAAGCTGTGGCAGGTTATAATATATGGTGCCCTCCTCTGTGACTGCCCTCTCCATGTGTGCCCGGCCTGGATAGCGCAGTACAGATGTGGGAAAGCAAGCTGAGTTCACATGGGAAGTATCAGCTCCCAGCTGTCCTCATTGGGAGGGAATGTCCCTGATTTCCAACCGAATCCTTCTGTCATTCATCAACAGTTGTCCCTCTTTTTAGTTTGATGCACAGTTCTATAACAATTCTCTATTTAACCATTAAAAGTGTTATGCTGCTCTGAGGGTGGGTTCACATTGGTGCATAGTGGTGCCATTTATTCTTACCAGTACCCCAACCAACCTAGCCAATGCTCTGCGTTATATAGCAATACAGCATGCATCATTTAAATGAATGAGCTGCCCTAATAAAATGCATGTTAACAGGTGGCATTACACACGTTAACCACCTTAGTACCCGAGCTATTGTGTAACTTTTCTACACACATTACAATCTGGATTTTAGGATGGAAAATTAATTTAAACCCGCAAACAAGTATATGCTTTCTATCCTAACTAAATTCCAAAATACAATAAAGTGACAAAAAATTGCAATGTAATCTCAGCAAAGACACAATCCACAAAAACTGTTGTGGTAAACAACCCGCTTCCCTATTTATAATGGTTTGGCCCTCTAGCAACTTCAGCGCAAAATTATAGCTAATTTGCCTACAAACGTCAGGTGGTCATAATAATCTGGCCACTCAGTGTATACTGTACATATATGTATCTCATGTGTCAAGATTAAACAATAACAACCTATATAATTTTAGGTGCCATTAATTAATGTCCTTAAACAATTAATGAACATCAAAAATCCATATGTTTAGAAATAAAGTGCTCCGTGCTTCCAAGTGCTCCACGCTCTATGTAGAAGACAAGGTCCGCACTCACCAGATTTCTTTTGTGAACTCGCCTTATGATATGTCAAATTGTCGGCCAGCCTCCCGATAATCTTTGCAGAAGACGCTCGGCGGCAACACCTCCTACGGTTTTTAGCAGATATACACAACCGACTTAACCACTTCCGATCTCCTCGTGTATGAGGTCCAGGAAAGACCCAAAATTGTTCAAAGGGAAGAAATGAGGATGCTCATAGTGTAGTATGTCCAGTAAGAAAACTTTATTAAAAGGATTAAAAATACTAACAAAAAGCAAGCATGAATATGCATGTAAACACTGCACCGATGTTTGGTGATCTCAACGGAGCCATCAGCAGTGAGGAGCAAGTGAGAGACAGGGAGGCTCCTACCTGTCTCCTCCCTTCCTCCTTTACACTAGCTTGGGGGCGGGGCTTCATCCGACGGGGCAGGTCTTCGGCCGGTAGGTAGTGTGAAAACAGCCTGTGCTCTGAGCCACCGAGAGGTTTGTAACTTGAAGCTTAACAGCCAAAAATGTGTGGGAAATTTGACTGACATTTTTTTCGTCATGCAACGCTGTACTGAAATTAATTTTATACTATTTTTTTGGGGACAGATAGAACTTTCTTTTGGTGCCATTTAATCACCACTGGGGTTTTTATTTTGTTACTATATAATGAAAAAAGTACCAAAAATTTGCCTATGTTATGTTAAAAAAATATTTATTCTTATCCAAAGTTTTTGTAAAATATAAAAGATGGGGTCACGTCGGCTAAATAGACACCAAACATGTCAAGCTTTAAAAATGTGTGCGCCCATGAAATCGCAAAAATAAATACCATACCCAAAATTTACCATAGGCGACCCAGTGATATGTAACATGTGTGGTGCAACATGTTTTTATTTTTACTTTTTTTCAGTTAACTTTATAGGCTAAGAAGCCCCCTATGTGATAGCCAATTTATGCAGACAGGTCCTCTTTATGGAGACATCAGGGGTGTCTAAGAACTCCAATGTCACCGAGGGACCCCCACAGAAGCTGATGAAGCAGTGATCTGCTTCTCCAGCTACAGAAGCTGGAGAGTGACAGCAGAATGCGGAAGTGATGTAATATACATCACTTCCTGCATTCAGAGTACGGAGAGGAGATCAGAGGGAGATTGTGAACTGAGCGCCCTCTAAACTCCGGTGACAGAGCCACCGTGCGGGTCCCGGGCCCACAACGGACCTCGGGATTGGCGGTGGCAGAGAAGGGGGACACACACCTACATGCATAATGCAAGCGATCCGGCGCCTCTACAGCCGCCGGACCACTTGTATGTAAACAGCCATTGCTGGCTTTTTACAATTTAAGCAGTTTTCCCACTTGTCCGCTGGGTGGCGTGCACGAGCAGCACGGGTGAGGACGTCTAAAAACGCCCACTCACATACATGAAGCTCACGGCGGGCCTGCTTGTGCTATAAATTAATAAATAAATGCCTAGGCCTAAAGTATTTTACATATTTACATTCATCCAGCTTTGGCCAATGTAACTATGTATATGATATGTCTATCATACCTCTACCTAACCGCTGAACTATTATTTTCTCAAACAACTCATTCCCACTCAGCTACCACCTTTTGTATCACTTGCCCCTCCCTTTTAGATTGCAAGCTCTCACTGGCAGGCAGTGGCGACTCTAGGAACAATATATAGGGGGGGCACATAAGATACCACAGTCAAAATGGGGGGGCACTAATAATTTTCACCACTAAATCATACCACTGAAAATAACTAAACAGGGGCGTAACTAGAAATCACAGGTCCCCCAAGCCCCCTCACCTGCTTTCATCCGTGCAGGGAGGAGACACATCTTCATTCCCTAATGATCTAGCGGTGATCACTAGTAAAGTCTGCACTAGACCTTACTAGTGATCCATCATTCGGCCGGAGCTCAGAACTGACAGAGCTCCGGCCGAAGCTGACAGGAGCTGCTCCTGCAAGTCGGGCCGTGTGTCAGCTAGCAAGAGACCGTGCCCCCCTGTAGAGACGCCTATGCTGGCAGGACCCTCATTACCATCTTGTTTTTAACTGAACTGTAACTGTAATGTCTTCCTTTATATTGAAAAGCACTGCGCAAACTGTTGGCGCTATATAAATCCTTCCCTAGTGTAGATACATAGTTACATAGTTACATAGTTACATAGTATTTGAGGTTGAATAAAGACATTTGTCCATCAAGTCCAACCTATTGTGTGTGTGTGTGGGTGTAAAGATCCCCGGGTCATCTCGTTTTTAGGAGTACTTGTACCCCTGTATATTACCGTTTCTCAGGAAATCGTCCAAAACCCTCTTGAATGATTCCAGACTATTAGCTGAAATCACTGCTTGCGGCAGTGAGTTCCAGACCCTAACCGCGCGAACTGAGAAGAACCCCCTTCTCCCCTTGTGTTTGAATTTTTTTTCTACCAGTTTCAGGTGGTGGCCTCTAGTCTTTGTTACGGAATTAATCGTGAAGAGTTTATTGCTAATGTTGCTATGACTATGGAACATTTTGTATGTGAAAATCATGTCCCCCCTTAATCTCCTTAGTTCCAGCGTGAACATATTTAAATTTAGTAACCGTGTCTCATAGCTCTGGTCCTCCATCCCTTTGATGAGTTTGGTCGCCCTTCGCTGGACTTTCTCCAGTTCAAGGACATCCCCTCTGTGTACCGGTGCCCAAAACTGCACCGCATACTCCAGGTGAGGCCGAACCAGTGATGTGTAGAGTGGCAATATTATAGACTTATCCCTGCAAAACATTCCCTTCTTGATGCAGGACAGGACTCTACTAGTTTTGCTTACCGCAACCTGGCACTCTAATCTATTATTGAGTTTATGGTCTACAGTGACCCCCAAATCTTTCTCCATTTCAGACTTCCCTAGCGGCATACCCATTATTGTATAACCCATTTGCGTGTTTTTTATTAAGATAGAGGTTCTAAGGAAGGGGGTGTGACCCCGGAAACGCGTAAACGCAGGCATTCCTTGCTGGCACATAGGAACGTCTGTGCAGCTCTCACTGGCCTCATCCTGGTTTGCTGCAGGAGTTACATTCTCTGCTTTTCAAGGCTCATGTTTATCCACTCTTGTGAGTACAATTCCTATGTTTTGCCTCTATCTTAATAAAATGTATCTACACTAGGGAAGGCGCCCCTTGTTTGTGCTTTCTTTTAGATATCACAGTCTCTGTGGCTGAAGTGGGACAGCGACCTGTAGAACCTTATTTGTTAACCCTTCAGTGAAGTGGTTTTCTCTGGCGCTTTTTGTCTTCATATGTGCTATATAAATCCTGTATAATATAATAATATCATTTGTCGTTCTACTTTAAAGGAGAACTATGGGGTAAGTGTTTTTCACCATAGTTCTCCTCAGGGTAACGGGAGGACATATACTAGCTTACTCACGTGACCCAAAGCTCAGTATACCGCAAGCTACAGCTCGCGGTATACTGAGACCGCCGCAGCCAGGACGGATCCCGACATTACTGTCGAGATCCACCCAGCTGCGTGATTGACAGCTGGCTCTGCCTATCTAGAGGCAGAGCCAGCTGTACCCGCCCCCTCTCCCGTCCGTTCCGCCAGTCAGCGCTGGAGGATCTGAGCGGGGAGGGAGGGAATCCCTGCAGGGAGCCGGGAGTGACAGTCACGGCTCTCTGCAGGGACAGGATCGAGAAGTGAGCGACCGACTGTATGTGTTTGCTCACGTCCCGATCTATTGAGCCGACGTGTGACAGTTTAATTGTCACACGTCGGCTCGAACTATGAGGCTGAGTGAAAATCACTCACCTCATAGTTCTCATCCTCATGTGGTTGGGGGAAGTTGCTTTAGCAGCATATTGCAGAATTAAAATGGGAACCAACTTAAAGGACAGTAAGACCATATAAGGATGTTGCATAGACAGCTCATTGTTTCCGTTCCTGGGCTGGAAGATTTCAAGGTAAATAAAATTAAAGATAAAACAGTATTATTTTACCCAAATAAGTATTGCGTGATATCATGTGAGTGTGTGTTTTTAAAGAATAAAATTAGGTATAGAACAATAGTTTAAAATTTACAAAACTTAAAAACAAAAAAAGATTATTTATAACTGACACACAACCAACCTGCTCCTTACAATATATTCTTTTAGTACAGTATTTCCAAAACATTTCCTGTGTGTTCATAATGCATGAGTATAAAAGGTCACATTGCAACAAACAAACCCCAGTCCTGGTCTCCATCTTATTAACTCCATCAAAATATTTGTGTGTACTTGGAATAGTTGCAAAGAATATGGGATAACTTTCAGTGACAATTTCAGTGCTTAGTAGAAAGTACTACCAAGCACCCAGTTATATGTTTAGAACTAATATACCAACGTGTCAACCTCGTGTTTTATTTCCAGTTCCTGCATACTCATGAATCATTTGCTTGTCTGAAACCTTTCAAGCTAGTGTATAGCCATTAAGAAAGACCAGGCTGAAGGGGAAAGAGGATATAAGACATGAATGTGTTACTGTTCCCTTTGCATTTCAAATGAATAGCAGCAATATAAGTAGTCAACACAGAACATGGTAGAAAGAAAAAAAAAAAAGGTTTTAGGAAATGGCAATAAGAAAAGATAACTCAAACACAAGTGCTATAGTAGGAAGCTAGCATCCCGTTCAGTAATGACATCCAAGAAAGCTACCTGCTCTTAGTCTGCCTTCCTATTTTCCACCTAACCAACAGATCAGTGTCTAAAACCCCTCCCTGTCAATCCCATCACTGGCTACCAATCACCGAGAGGATAACATTCAAAATATTAACAACCACTTACAAAGCCATCCACAACTCTGCCAGGGCTATATCTCCAACCTGGTCTCAAAGTATCACCCTAACCGCCCCTTCCACTCCTCCCAAGACCTCCTGCTCTCTAGCTCCCTTGTCAACTCCTCTCATGTTTGCCTTCAGGGCTTCTCTAGAATCTTTCCCATCCTTTAGAACTTCTTACCCCAACCTGTCTGGTTATCTCCTATTCTGTCTGCCTTTAGGCGATTCCTAAAGACTCCTCTCTTCAGGGAAGCCTATCCAGCTTCAACCTTACCACTAAACTATCACTTTCTCAAACAATTCATCCCCACACAGCTACCACCTCTTGTATCATTTGCCTCTCCATTTTAGATTGTAAGCTCTCACAGGCAGGGCCCTCCTTACCATCTTGTCTTGATTTGTATTGTAACTATAATGTCCTCCTTATACTGTAATGTAAAGTGTTGCGCAAACTGTTGGTACTATATAAATCCAGTATAATAATAATGATATGGAGAAATGGGCTACTCAATGAAAGTATAGACATTTAAACTAGGGCTGGTAATGATTAAAATTTTCCTGTTCGATTAATCAAATTTTTTTTAAATTGATTAATCAACTAATTTCGATTAATTATAACGCACATACAGAGGGGGGTCTCACCAGAGCTTTGAGGGGGCCTCACCAGGGTAGCAGGGCTCTGTGGGGTCTAACTAGCCTTGTTAGAACAACAAGAGGGCGCAAAACCAGGTCAGCTGACTGCCTGGACCGAACATATCAGGGAAGGTGACAGGAACAATAAATATATATGTATAATGTACTTACTTATGTGGGTCTGGGAACCAGATGTGAACCGGCCTGTGAGGAGGATCAGGATGTCCAGAATGTATGTTGAATGGCGGCAGCCTCAGGCACTATATTTCTATATTTGATTTCATTTGACTTGAAATATTAGATGCTTGTGGAAGTCAACAACCTCTAAAACCATTTGTTGAAAACTAACCCAAAGCCTGCGTGTAAATCAGTCAGCTGATCAAAATAATTGATCCATGAAGTTCTGTGCCCATGCAGGGGGTCCAGTGATGAGGCTCCTCTCAGCAGGAGGCTCAGGATGTTATGTATCTTGTACCAGCACAAATGCAGACACCTCGTCACCATCACCAGCAGTTTCTGCCCAGATATTTAATTGATGAGCTCCAGGTACAATATAACATCCTTGTGCTCAGAAAAAGGAGACAGAGTATTCAGAGTTTACTCCAGTTAGAGATATGGACAGATGCATGGCGAGAGGGTCTTACTAGAAGGAGACTGGAAGCAGATGAGAACTGCTGGGACATGTAGTTCTGTATGCGTGGATTCTGTGATTGGGAACTGCTGGGATTTGTAGTTCCTTACTAGCTGTGGACTCTTGTCTGGACACCAAGACCCTTTGCTGCCTGTGACTGGTGTGGACCTGAATCTGCCTCCAGGCCTTCTCCTGATTGACCCAGGAGCTTCTTCCCGGTGCAACTCTGCCCTCCTTGTTCATTGCCCCTGCTGTGTGCTGTCTGTTACCTAGTGTACCTGACACTGCGGCTAGACCTTCAACCTCTTCCAGGACCCAGCGATCTCCCTCCAGAAGGACTCTGCAAGCCTCACTGTGCGGATCACCCTGCCTGGATCTCCCTCCACCAATCCAACCCAACCAGTTGCCCAAGACTGTCACGCCTGTTTGAGTTGCTTAAACTCTGTCTCCAGTCTCCTGCTGTGCCTTTGACTGCTATCCTATGAACTATTGCCCTATGAACGGTTGCCTGTGAACTGTTGCCTGCAAACTGTTACCCTATGAACTGTTGCCTGTGAACTGCTGCCCTATTAATTGCTGCCTGCAAACTGTTGCCCAGTGTCCTTTCTGCTGAACCCTTATTGTGCCTGGAGTGCCTTGTGACCCTGGACTTAATCGTTGCTACCCCATATCATGTGTTGAGTCTCCCTGTCTATACCACAACCGTAGCTTGCTCCCACTTCTGTGTACTGGAAGCTCCCCAATAAACACCCAACACGCTGGGTCCCGTGTAATTTGTAATCTCACATGACCCACTCAATATGGCCGCCGCTTGAGTGGGGCAACTCAGAATAATAACGTGCTGGATCAGTGTGATCCTAGTTCATTTTATTACTTCATTGCTGTGCTTTATGTGTATAGGCCAATGCCGTGGCTGGCGCTCGTGCAGAACGAGTTTCTTGGGCAAACCTCTTAGTTGTAACGAAACCGGAAGTCAGGCGGTCGCAGAACTCAATAAGTTCTCAGTGTCGACAGATCACCGGCCCAAGTGGCTCCGTCGGCTAACGAAGGGAAGGGGGAGGAGTCCGGTGACGTCGATGTCCTTGACGTCACCGGATCTCCTACGGGACTCCCGGAAGACCCGGAAGCCGGCGGAGAGGTAAGTGTTTTAATTACCGATCAAAAGAATTTTAATCGATCAAAATTTTTTACGATTAATCGAGTAATTAATCGTTAATTTCCAAAGCCCTACTATATACTATGCTTACTATTAGGGCCGAAGCTAGAGCTAGAAGCTGGGGGTGCTGCTTTAGGAGGGGCACCACTGGGTGTGTGGATGGAGAACTTCTCCCTTGAGGGGGGAGCAACACTGAGCCTTTGCCCTGGGTGAATAATGTATAGCTTCCCCACTGCTTACTATACATTTTATATACTTTTTTAGTACAGGCATGTGGTCTGCCATATTCACCTGTTAGCTGCTGGGTCCTTTTATTGGATAGACAGGCCCTACTCTTATGTCTAGGGTGGAAAGAGCAAAAAGAAGGGACAGGGGAGGGGATAGAGCATTTTTAGCAGCAGAGAAAGATGAGTCTGGCCCGGCAGAGACCAAGTTAGCTTTCAGTTGTTTTCAGTATTTTTAGACTGGGGGAGGCTGCCTATCTCTAGTAACATACATAAGCCACACAGAACATGTCTATTTTTATTGTGGTTTCACTGTGGATTAGATATCAGGAAGGTGTTCGCCCATTAGTGGGACACAGGGACGTGAGAGGGTTATTTCTGAACACATCCCTTATCCTAGCCAGATGGAAGATGGTAGTAAATCACACCTGTGTCACTGTTGCTGGATTCAACCACATGTATGCCTGTATTTCTCAGATGTTTAAACCTGACTGGCCAGTTAATACATTTTTGTTGTATAGCTAGACATCTATATGCGTTCAATGACATTCAATGACATCAATGACATCCATATGTTGCTGCTTATTATGGCTTGGTACTTGTAAAAACAGGTGTGCTGAAAGAAACCTTTCCTTTAAAGTGCAGGAACTATTATCTGTTTTCCCACGGTGAAAGGCAGAGATTACATTGTGGTCAGGAATGCTGAAATGACTGAAAAAATAAGTATTATTAACATTTGTTTTTTTGTAAGCTCCACTGTGCATGCATCGTTACAAAAACCCCTGTGAGCAAGAAAGCGGACAATGAAATGACCGCACACAAATGGATCTCTTCAGAAAGAGAGGGCCACAATATCCCTGAAACCCCCCTCCCCCCGGGGCTCAAGGCACCTGCCAGGGGCAAGGCATTCTAGTCCACCTAACGGTTAAGCCAGGCAGACCATGGTCTTTGGGGATCAGCCAAAGCCAGTCTACCAAGTACTTGGTAGGGGCTCTCCCGAGGACAGACCCCTGAGTGGGGCAAGGAAAAAGACCCGTGAAAGCCACAGATCCTCCCCCCCAAAATAAGTGCTATAAATAAATTAACACAGTTTTTGTCTACAGTCAGGGCTTGTTAACAGTGGATGTGTTGCCATGCATTTTGCTGTTCTTTCAAACACAGCAAAATGCGTAATAAAGTGAAAAGTTATTGTTTTCAAAAGAATACCTTGAAGACAATGCATTATGCTGCAGAGTGTTGGGAATCAATCTTATCGAAGCCCGTGGACGTGCATCTAAACAAACTTCCCCCTGTGAACAAAAAAAGTGAACCGTGAAATCACAGCACACAAAAACGTGCACAAGGGTGCAAGGTCCTTCCAAAGAAGGGACCTACTTCCCGACCCCCCGGGGGCGCAAGGCTCCTGACAGGGGTTAAGATACTTTGGACCACCAACCCGAAGGCCGATGGTCCATTTCCTTTGGGGACCTGCCGAAACAGGTCCCCCTCAGTACTTGGCAAGGGGGCTCTCCCGAAGAGAGACCCCCTTCCTGGGTGGGAGGAGACAGAGAACCCCCTACGAGGCACAGAATCTCCTCCCAGCGTCAGGAATAGGCCCCGAAGAAACCTGCACCTTTCGCATCTGTGGGTCAAATTTAAAAATAAAAAAGTGCCAAACGTGCATGGAGTGCATAAATAAATCTAAAGTGCCAGTGCACCACACTGACAGGCCTTAGCGGCCGGAGTGCAAAAATATTGCCCCGGACTAGCCATAAGGCCTGTCCAAGAGGCGTTGTGCAGAAAAAGCAATATGGTGTGTGACCGAGTGATCAAGTGAGTCAAGTGGGGTCCCATACCCATGTGACTACCTGAGCACCCCTGGGACGCCACCCCCAAGGGGCACAACACCACGGGCTTCTGCCGCCCCCAACCCTCGAGCCAGACCAAGCTTCGCATCTGTTCAGTCAGAAAGCCATGTACTGAGCGGTTCCCCTCTCACAGGAAGCCGCCCCACACGCTCTTTCACTCCAGCGAGTACTAAGTAACCATCCCCCGCAAGGACGGTTCTTTTCCCCACCGAAAACTGATAAGAACAGATACTACACTTGATCTTAGCCAAAAGGCAGCAAAATGCGTAATAAAGTGAAAAGTTATTGTTTTCAAAAGAATACCTTGAAGACAATGCATTATGCTGCAGAGTGTTGGGAATCAATGCTGCACTTTATGGGCATGATTTATAAATTGACATATGCTGGCCTCAATATCGTTCGCAAGGCAATGCCGCCACTAGATGCTCCTCAGCTCTATCTAGTGTCAAGAATGCAGCATGAACGGCATTCAGCCAGCGAATATCTCGGCAGATGAAATCATCTCCACAGCGATGTGACTTGAACTATGCAATTAAGGATAATTGAATGAGATTCTTGGTGGATTTCATATTAATGTATGTCAACACAAGCCAATGCAAGCATGCATTTTTGTGTTAGCCCAGGCTTATAGCCAATAAGCATATTCATTGTTAAAACAATATATCAGCTAAAATGTAAATCAAGCCAAAAAACTTTGGTTTAGGAAAGAGTGATCAGAAACTGGAACTTCTGTCAGGTTTTTTATTACAGTCTGGGTCTCCATTGTGGAGATTTTCTCTCATTCCTGTGACCACTGTCTCTGGAACAGGAAGAAAAGAGAATCTCCAACAGGGATGCAGATAATATTAATAAAAACCTATCAGAGGTTCTAACATTTGCACACTACAACCGTAAAAAAAATCATAATAATTGTTTTCACTGCTCGGGTCAATACTTTTTCCCAGTTTTTTTTGCTAAAATTAGGTACCTCGGCTTATATTCGGGACAGCTTATACTCGAGTATATACGGTATTCCCATGGAAAAGAGTTGTTGACCACCATCACTGGGACAGGAACTGGGGCAAACAGTGCTCAATGGGGACACACAACAATGAAACCTGACAGTAACTCTATCAATTCCATATTCTATCCAAAAGAAGAAAAAAGTTTTTGTCTGGAGAAACTAGTGCATTCCAGAATATAGAAAGAAGACAGCTGCTTCCCTTTCACACCTGTTTTTCTTGGACTCGGGGCTGTGGTACGTGAATGCAAGGGGGCCTGACCATTGATAGATAATAGTGTTCACATGCTAATGCAAATAATTTTTTTTTTAAATACTATTCAGTGGTAAGAGAGCCCTCCATTTTATACAACTTTGAGGGAGATATAGGAAAAACATAAATTCCTCAAATTACATGCTTATGAGATGCCTTCAAGTTATATGCAATGTTGCAAAACAGTACAGTTCTTCTGGACGGCATCACTGACACTGTATTCTGGTATCACATAAATTGCATGTGTGATACTTTTTTTTACTTTTACATTATTCCTTTGATTACATGCAACAGTACCAACCCAAATGTAATCATTTTAAGTTAAAAAATCTTAATTGGGTAATTTTTGGTGCAACACCTGATTTTATATCCAGCAGTAATAAGCCAGAATTGAGCCGTGGAAGCAGCAGACATAACAGATCTAAAAGCTTTTGGAAGGTTTACACTTTAAAAAATAAAAATAAATAAAGCCCCTAACTTTATATCATTTGCTAAATATTGGTAAAGAGGCAGGTTTTATTTCAAAAAAGAAGTTATAGTCAAAGGCCAGAAATATAGTACAGATTCCATGCATAGTATGTAAGCCATTTCACTAGGACGCAATTTCAGAGGGAGCAACAAGGCAGGTTTATTCATGAATAGAAACAAATGGTGTATTTTCTTAGCAAAAAGCCAGAAATATAGTACAGATTTCATGCATAGTATGTCAGCCATTTCACTAGGACGCAATTCCAGAGGGAGTAACAAGGCAGGTTTCATCATCAATAGAAAAAAATTGTGTATTTTTTCTTAGCAAAAATCAAGAAATATAGTACAGGTTCCATGTACAGTAAGTCAATCTTTGTACTAGCCCAAAATGTAAGATGGGAGACAAGGGAGATTTTATTGTGAAATACCATTTGCATTATCTATGAGACTAAGGACTGAAATATGGTAGAGACTCTGTAGTCAGCATTGTAACAGTTGGAAAAGGCCGCATACTAAAAGTACACTTAGCATGAAGCTCTGAATGCCAAATAGACACAATAAATTGTATTTTTTTCCCTAGAAAAAGGAAAGCATGTAAACACTGCATAAGCATTATTAATTCTGTTTCTGATCTCCCTTATTGGCTGTACCACACCCCTATATATTTTTGGAGGACAACAATCTTTTATATTTATTTGCCTAACAAAACAAATATAACATTTCTACAATGTCTTTGAGAACCCACTGGATAAAACACATCCCTATATAGCTTTAGAATCAGGAAAACAATGTAAAGTTTATATTGTTTAACTGCTTGCCATCCGCCCGTTGTATATAAACAGACAGACAAGTGCTTTACTACTGACCGCTTCACATGAGTTTTAATCAGCCGGTAACAGCTGTTACATACAAGCATTCAATTTCTTGTATGGCGCACTCCTCACTGTTAACACTAAATTGATCAGTGGTAAAAGCTTTTAAAGCATCGCCTATGACCAATTTTGGATATGGAAGATTTTTGCAATTTCAGGGGCGCACGCAATTTTAGGGCTTGATGTGTTTGGTTTCTTTTTACACGACATATGAGGGACAGCATTCTTCAATAAATGAACATTTAATTGCTGTAACTATCGTTTTGGTGTGCTGGTGATGTTCTTCAACTAATTACCCAACGTGACCCCATCTTTTAAATTTGACAAAAAAATTAGGTATTAATAAATGTTTTATAACATAATGTATATTTATTTATATTTACAGTTTATTTGTTTCCCAGACAAAAAAAGCAAAATCTAGTACTGACTCCATACACGTTATTTAAAAAGGTTTATTTGGTCACACATTGAACAGGAGGGACACCAGGCAGCATTTTATCAAAAATAATTCAGCAAAATAGTAGTTTACTGACTCAATGTATGTAAGCACTTCTAACAGGCCGCAGTTTAGAGACCAGGCAGTTTTTAATGAATACATCACTGTTAAGGTGCCCATACACCTTACGATTATGGCACGATTTTCGTCTGTGATCGCGTTTTCTTATGATAATCGCAGTTGATGGGAAGTGCACAACCGCAATTACTGTACAACCATTCGACTTTTGTCTTTCCAGCAGGCTAGAAAACTTTGATCGAATCGTACGAAATTCAATGGATTAGTGGCGGTTTCGATTCGAAAAAAATCGCAACAAGAACACTGCTCATGCGCAAATGAAAATCCGTTCTGTCATTCGACTAAATTCGGCGAGGTGATATTGCTAACGAATGGTAACTGAAACCCACAATAGGCTGTGCATGATGGGGCAGTTGTACGAAAAGCGAACAATGAACTGAAACCCACAATAGGCTGTGCATGATGGGGCAGTTGTATGAAAAGCGAACGATGATTCGATCATCGTACGAAAATAAACGTGCGATAATCGTAAGGTGTATGGCCACCTTTAGACTACACTATTTCAGACAGATTCCACAAATGTTCTTGATTAAGGTGGCATTGCAATAGGGGCAAACATAGGAGACGAAGAGCATAATTTAGCCTAGTAAACTATAAAAATGGTACAACTGAGGAACAGTTGTGGAAACATTACATGTGGCACCTTGACAGTGCAGAAGAGCCAAAATCTACTGGAACAGTGAGGCACAACACAGGATTGGCCCTGCAGAAACAAATTGCCCAAATTTGGCAGCTGAGGAACAGCCTCGGAAACATTAGGTTTGCTCGCTTACAGTGCAGCAGATCTGGAATCTAATGGAAACACTGAGGTGTGACACAGGCTTGGCACTGCAGAAAAACTATTCCCAAATTTGGTAGCTGGGGAACAGCCTCGGAAACATTCTGTTTGGCTCATTGATAGTGCAAGAACACAGGACAAGAGCAAGATGGTACTGCTGGCGGGTCTAGTGCGGTATCAGGATGTGGTTATGATGTCAGGCCATCAGCAGTAGAAGAAGCTGTTAATGGTGGCAGAATGTGGTAGTTGTGCCAGGAGATGTTAATGGTCATTTTGTTAACTAGTATCAGCTGCAGAGGCTAGGTACTTATTGCTGATCTGGGACTAGTTATATCACATATCAGGTGGTTTGTGGGCAGGCTGTGTTGTCCCTGAATTGTAACCAGGCAAACACTGACTGGTATAACCACCTAGAAGGCCAGACAGCAGGTTGTCACACACAACCTTTCAGGGTCAGCCGTCTCTGAGTCTGCCCCAGAGTGGCTCCTTTCCCCCAAGCATTCCAGCTTCAAAACAACATGGCAACATTTTTTTCTGGGTCGTTGCATGGCTCCTTAGTCACTTGAGGGGTGACAGGTGGTTTTGAGGAGGAGTCACTGGATGAGGCCATGGAAGAGGAGGGTGTAGAGGTGGCGGAGCTGTCACCATTACCAATTTGCACCTGCAGCAGTGTGCCCCATCCTGCATCCTTCCTCACTAGGCCACGTGTCTGTGGTAATGTGGACTCTGCCGCTGAGTGTGTAGACCAACTAGATGAAGACATTAGCTTCAACATGATAATAGAGGGCAGGGAATGCCTCTTAGGTGCAAAAATGGTGTCTGGGTACCTGCCACCTACCTGTGGTGCAGCACAGGCTGCAAACTCATGGAAGGAGGAAAATTCTACCAGCTGAAACAGAGGCAGCTGTAAGGCCAGCCATCTGACATTGAGAAACTGGACCTGGGGTTACTGGGTGCATATTTTTCTTATGTTCCAGCAGCTGGGGAAGAGACACTTGCCTGGTCAAGTATACAGCTGGAGATGGCAGGGTGGGGTTTGGAAACCTATGCTTGACCCTACTCTGTAAGGTTTCCATGCTGACCCTCTTCCTTGCTTGATGTCTCATAAGGTTTGCCTCTCAAACCTGTTGGCAAGTATTATTTGCTGCTAATCACTGCGTTGCTGTCTGCAGCACATGTGTTACAAAAAAAAGGCCCACACCACTCAGCGAGCCTGGGGATAACAGTGGCTTACACCCATGGAGCAGTGCCATCTGGTGGAATAGGGAAGCCGCTCCCTCCTATCCTGCCACTGGCTTGCTGATGTTGTGCCTCTTCCTCACTTTGCTCCTCTACAATGGCACTCTGGCACAGAGGTACAGTCTGAGACCTCATCATCATCATAATTTTGTTAGCACAAACATTTACATGCATACATCATAAAATAGGGTCCATACGCTGGACCATGGATGCAAAATGTTCTATTTTTTTCTATGCACCTGAATGCAGAGATTACAGAGATTTGTGCAACTTTGTGCATGGGCCCATAGAACACAATACTGCTATGTTCAGATCTGTATAAACTACGCATCTGAACATAGCAGTATTGTAAGTTCATGTGCATGAGCCCTAAGATTTGTAGAGTACCACCCTAAGTGGGTTATTCACTTAGCTGCCCACTTAGCTTAGCTGCTCAAGCAGCTCAGTCTCTGCCGTTCGCTCCTATTCTCATAGGGGCCGAACCGCAGTGAGTAAATAGTTCCGGTTTGCCCTTAGTGATGCGTAAATTGGTGCGCGTTGGCTTCTGTTTTTGTCACATTCGTCGATATCTCAGCCTATTCCATCAATGGGCTGCCACAAACATGACAATTGTGGAAAAGTAGCTTCTGCGGCATTTTCAGCTGCGAGTGCTCTGCATTTTTTTTCTCAAGCAGTTGTGCACAATTGTAGCGTTTCCACGCATGAGGAAAAACACATTTTACAGGCCGTGTTTAGGGTGCCATGAACAAAAAATGGCACCGCAAGCGAATTGTACGTTTTGAATGTGTGCACATGCACCAAAACACAAACTTGGGTGCATGCTCATGTAACGCCAAGGTGCGAACGGGGATTTCTTTAATCTATTTAACCACTTCCAGCGGGTTCACGTAAATACACGTCATCCACTGGAAGTGGTTATACCAAGAACAGGGCTGCTGTTTTAAACAGCAGATGATTGCTGTTTAAATACAAGCGATCCAGCGTCTGTATGGTGCGGCGCTGTGTTCCCCCCGCCGGTGCCATCGGCAGCTTCCCAGGCTCAGCTGTCCCACCGGTGTGGTGGGTCTCCCTTGATGGATCAGAGAGAGATCAGCAGGCTTCCAGCTGCTGATCTCTCCTCTGATCACTGGACCTGGAAGTGATGTGCATTACATCACTTCCGGTGTCACTGTACACAGTCTCCGGCTCTTAGAGCCACAAGAAAAAGCTGAGGAAGCAGATCTCCGCTTCCTCAGCTTCTTTGGGGTCCCTAGGTGACATTAGGGGTCTGAAAGACCTCTGATGTCTCCATAAAGAGGATTACATAATCACATTGTATTTTCTATTATGTAGGGGGCTTGTTAGCCCCCTATGTGATAGCAATAAAGTTGAGTGTACAAAAAACAAGTGGTAAAAATCAAAGTAACAGATGAAAAAAATAAAAAATTCAAAAAAAAATGAAAGTCCCCCGCCCCCCACGTGCACGCACATACAAATGCAACACGGGCCGGATGCGCCTACGTGCAAAAACGAAAATTGCGCCACACATGTTACATATCGTCGCGAGCGTCGGAGAGCAATAATTCTAGGCCCATCATTCACTGTTAGCACTAAACTGATGAGCCGTAAAAGCGTTTAAAGCATCCACTATGGTAAATTTTGGTTGTAGTTCTTTGCGGTTTCACAGACGCGCGCAATTTTAAGGCTTGACATGTTTGGTATCTATTTACCTGGTGTGACCCCATCTTTTATATTTTACCAAAAAATAGGGTATTATATTCTGTTTCTGTGCACTATATTTCACTGTAGTGTATTTTATCCTAAAAATACATGTTTGATAAACATTTGCGCCAATACCGTGCAACATAAAAAATTGCAACTATCATTTTTTTATTCTACAGGACCTCTGCTTCCAGAACATATAGCATTGTTTGGGGGTCTGAAGCTGTTTTCTAGCCACAAATTCCGATTTTCTCATGTGTGTGCAAATGTAAGAAATTGCTCTGGGCAGCAAGTGGTTAATGAAGCAGTGAAAATAAAGCAACCCCCGAGCTTCACCTACACA